CAAAGCTCTCTCAGAATGTGAAGTAATTTCAGATACTCCCAAAAGTAAAAAATGTCAGATAATGCAATACAAAACATAACAGAGCCTTAGATTTTGAGAAGGATCTGTCTGCTTTTAATTCCTGAGATTTCTTGAGGAAAACAGAGGTTTTTCCCAAAACAGGGTCTGTGGTGCCTCCTCTGCTTTTCCCAAGGAGTCCCAGGCTGTTAGAGTTTGAATATCCACTTTAAATTAAGCTGACTTTTAACTATAGCACTCTTTATAAAAGTCCTTTTAAATTTCTTATTACCTGACTTTAGCCAGGACAAACAGCAAATACTTCTGGCTCAGAGAAGAAAAAATTCTTGGAGGGGAGGAGAATCAACAAATGGTAAAGTTCCGACAGTTATCAAACCTGAGAGGACTCATTCCCTAAGGCAGGAATTGAACTAGGGCCACCACTGTAAAAAGGCAAGGTCTTAGCTACTGAGCTACAGTATTGGACAGCTTCCATTGCTCTTTTCAGAAGTCTAGAGCAGTCAATTTTGAGTTTGCAAAGGCTTTTTACTGCTTGAGATAATTTTTGGAGCTAGCTATGGCATGAACCCCAAAATTTCTTTTCACTGTAAGGCAGAGACTAAGAGAAAGTACCACCATGTGGTTACAAGATTAAGCTCCCAAGGACAAAACCAGATGGAGACCTCAGCCAGTTTTTTTGTTTGTTTCAGAGAACTGCAACAAAGTTTGTTATTGACGAGCTTGCTAGGCTGTCTTGAATAGCGAGCTTATAGGGTCCTAAGCCTGTGTTCTATCCTAAGGTACTCTTTATGACAGAACCATACAGAAAGACAGATAAGCACACCAAATTCCCTACAACTTAAAAGTAGCCTCAGAATCCTTTTTTGCATTAATTGAAACTTTACAGAGGAGATAAAGTGATTTTTACCATTAATGTAACCAGGTTGCACAGAGAGAGAGAGGCCATAAGTCTGGTAAGAAAATTCTTGCCCTTTTGCTGGCCTGTCAGGTTTCTGGGTTCCCCTTTCCTGAGCAACCCTAGTGACCCTGCTTACCACACCATAGTTCCGGGGGCCAAACTGCATCACAAAGGAAAATAATGGAAGCACAGGCAAAATTATCTCAATTTTACAAGTTGCAGCCCAACCAGCTGCATGGGAGACCCGAATTCTAATATTTTCCTTTCTGGCCAGAACAAAGTATGTGTGCTTTAAATAAAAATATTGAAATATTTTTAGAGGCTTCTGCATATCAGTAGGCATCCCTAGATGCAACTAATTTGGGAGGCTCATTGTTTTAAATACACTTCAGTGTGTTGTTCATTTGGAATGTTCTACTGTAAGATATCTTTAGTAAGATCTCGCCATTTCAGTAAGACTTCACTGTTTCTGGGGCCTAATACTGAGGCTTGTATAAACCAGAAGGAACTCAGTTCTTCAGAAATTAAGGATCCCATTTTTACCAAAAATATTGGCTTTGCTCTCAGATTTCCTCAATTAACTTAGTCAATGATTTGTTTTCCTGCTTAAGCACAAAAGAAAAATAAAACAAAGGAGTAGAATACAAAAATCCCTGCCAATTTTTTTTTTCCTTTTTTGAGATGGAGTTTTCCTCTGTTGCCCAGGCTGGAGTGCAGTGGCGTGATCTTGGCTCACTGCAACCTCCACCCTGCCCCCTACCCCGGTTCAAGCGATTCGCCTGCCTCAGCCTCCCATGTGCACCACCATGCCCAGCTAATTTTTTTGTATTTTCAGTGAAGACGGGGTTTCACCGAGTTGGCTAGGATGGTCTTGATCTCTTGATCTCATAATCCACACATCTCGGCTTCTCAGAGTTCTGGGATTACAGGCATGAGCCACCATGCTGGGCCCATCCCTGACAAATTTTTGAAAGCCAGTTATAGCCTCTGCAATATTACCATTTACTACCAATTTCTTTCTGACCCAATCAGATGTAAGAAGCCTCTAACTGGATTCAAGCCAGTTAATTACTGGATCAAATCTGATCCTGGACCCAGTTTGTGTCATGACTTCCAGACCCAGTTTGGATCAGAAATTTGCTCAAAGAAACTTGTAGAGCCCAAAACAAATCAGTGGAACTCTGAAATTCATGGCTGTGAATCATGGGAAAGTTCTCTCTTTGAGAGAGAACTTTGAGACATCATTGGACACAAGTGGGTCCTGCAGGTACCTTGCTTATTATTTCAGTACTCCTGAGAGTCATTAAAGCTTACTTTGCATCCCACTTCTGACAACATCTGTTAAAAGAAAAACTTCAGCCAAATTAAATTTAAAGGAGTTTAATGGAACAAAGAACGATTCATGAATTAGGCATCCCCTAGAATCACAGCAGATTCAGAGAGACTCCAGTGCAGCCACATGGTGAAAGAAGATTTATAGACAAAAAAAGGGAAGTGAGGGACAGAAATTTGAAGTGAGGTACAGAAACAACTGGATTGGTTACAAGTTGGCATTTTACTTATTTGCACACAGTTTGAGCACTTGGCAGTGTATGAGTGGTTGAAGTATGGCTGCTGGGATTGGCCAAGACTCAGCTGTTGTTACAGGTGCATACTCCTAAGTTAGGTTTTCAGTCTTGTCTACCTGTTAAGTTAGGTGACAATTTGTCCACAAAGACTCAAATATAGAAGTATGGAGTCTTTCTCAGGCCGTTTTAGTTTGCTTTACCAATTATGGATGTCAAAATATAGAAAAAAATTAAATGTAGAACCAGATCTGAAGGTCATCTGTTAAACAAAGCAGCAGGCATTTAGTTTTTGGAAAATAATGTCATCTCTCAAATGGGATTAATGTTTTTAGAGTATTATTAGTATTTATTAGTATTATTAGTATTTGCTAGTTTTGTTAGAATTTAATTTATAATTTTCTCTTGTTCTATAGTTTCCTAAGATATATAAGCCTAAGTAGTTTGTTTGCAGTTGTGTATTTAAGTACTGTAATATAAATAATTTAACACTTGGGCCTAGTGAGAATTATTTTTTTCTCTAGAAAAGAGTTCTGTACATTCCTTAAGTTTTAGAAACAGTGAATTAGAATTTGTGGTTGGATTTTGGAATGTTTGAAATTCATCCTGTTTCCCAACTTCTCTTTTTCCATATTATTACAAATACAGTGTTTTATAATACATTGATTATATTAATAGTCATAGCACTTGTATTGAGGTTCAAAATTATCTCTAGGAGAAATGTTGATTAAATTTATGATTTTAAGTTGAAATTAGTACTTCTTTATGATTGATACTGACATTTTATAGCTGTTGAATAATTTAGTTTCACAGAGTGAAATTAACTCTAAACAGAAAACATGGCTTAAACAAATACTCATGTTTATATTGACATTTGGAGGTCAATTCAATCTTGTTTAACAAAGGAATATATGATTGATATTTACTTAATGTAAATTAATTATCTTAAGTTTTAAAAAAGAGAAAATATATTTTCTGTTTTAAGAGGAATGACTTTCACTATTCTGTGAAGATGAATCAGTAACAGCTGAAGATCTGATCTTTGAACGTGGCAGGGTTGGAACACTTTCAAAGTAGAAATCTAGCCAATTTTCAAGAAAAATCATAATGTTTCAGTTTTGAACTTTAATGTAGTTGAAACATATGTAGCAGAACATTTTCTTCTTGCTGTCTCCTGCCAAACTAATTATGTATGCCACATTAATTTTTCCCTTATGCTTGGAAAACTTAAGATATGGTAGAATGGAGAATTTTCTGATTATTATTCACCAGTTTTAATGGTAGGGTGAAGATGAAAAGTATCAAAGAGAGATTTTATTTTCTCCTAGAGAAATTATATGCAAAATTAAAATATTTCATTCACTTAAAATTATTTACTGTGTACCTACTATATGCCAGGCTCTGTTATGTAGTGTGAGTGATACAGTGGTGAACTGGACAGTTATAGTCCCTGCCCTCAGAGCACTTACATTCTAATGGGGGTGGTGGTGATAGGAAATGATGGGGATTTCAGATTCATAGATGTTCTGTAGAAAGTAAAACGCATAGCAAGATAGATTACCATAGCTGAGGCTGAAATTATATGAAGATCTGGGAGGAGTGAAGTCTAAATTTGGTCAGCAGCCACTTAAGTGGGAAAGGCTTGGCATATTCTAGGAGCAGAAAGGCCAGTGTGGAGGGAGCATAGAGAATGTGGGTGGTAGAGGCTAAAGTTGGAGAGAGAGAGACCAGATTAAATGAGTCTTTTAGATGATATAAGGAGTTTCAGTTTCACTCTAAATATAATGGGGATGCGTGGAATGGCAGGTGAACAACAGCAAAAAGATCTAATGGGGAGTCCTTGGAAACTTTTAAGCGGGAACATTTTATTATTTGGCTTATTTAAGGAAGATCACTCTGGGGGATTTTAGCAATGAACTGAAAGAAGGTGAGAGTAGAAGCAGGAGGCCAGGTAGGGTGCTATTCCAGCATCTAGCCGGAAGATGACTGTTGTTGGTGTTAGGGATATGAAATAGATTTGTGAGGAGTGCTTGGATTGGAGGTGTGCTCTTGTGCTACACTGATTGTACTTGCTGATCAGTTCCATGTTTTTATACTCAAGCATTTGGGATTCTGAAAGTTAAATCCTTGGGACATCATAGTTTAATGTGGACTCTGTGTCTTAAGAATGTGAAATTTTACTAAAAAATATTTTCAATGCCTGAGGAAGACAGTTCCTTTAGCTTTCCTTTACTATATGGCATAAAGTATACATTGTTCAGAAAAACACTAGTATCTTGAAATTCTGTTGATAAGTTTATGCCAGATTGCTCTAATTTCTCTACTTGAAAATATATATACTACATAAGGATATGAAGAAAATAATTAAAGCACCTTCAAATATGTAGTTGAAAATTAATTTTTTTTAAGGAGGAGTAAAATGAACACAATTGCTGCATGATATAAATAAATTTGTGTTTAACTTTTTCCTTTTATCTAAATTATATATTTACTGGAGTTTTTTTTTTTTTTTTTTCTAGTCACATTGTCCTAATGCTTGCAGATGATATGGCCTGTAATCCTAGAAATCCCAAACCAGCTACAGTGTTTAGTCACAAGAATATGGAACTAAATGTGTATGGAGATGATGTGGAAGTGGATTATAGAAGTTATGAGGTAAATTGTTTAATCTAGCCACATTTTTGAAATGGCATTGTTACTTTTAAGCTCTAAAACAATGGCAGAATAAAATTGTCTTATTATTTTTCTTTAAACTTAATTGTCACTTAAGCCTTGATGTAACTGTCTCTGGAGTTCATATTAAGGCAATGATACATAGGAAAAATATTAAAACATGAACATTTTACATTTGTATCTAGGACAGAAAAGCTATATTGGCTTCAATGTTAGAGTATTATAGCGAGGTTTAGTGTGTCAATTTTTTTTTAACAATAAATGTATTTCATAGGAAACATTTTTCATATTTGACCTAAAATTTTAAGTTTATTAGTTTTAGTAATTGTATTAATTGTGGAAAAACTATAGTGACTAACAACTCACCCATATTTTCACTGCTTAGAAATAACCACTTTCAGTATGCTTCCAGTGTTTTTTATGAATATGTGATTAAAAATAAAAGTGTAAATGTAAAAAACTGGTATTACACTGTATTTTGTCCCTTTGAAACTTTATTTTTAATTTAATAGATTGTGAATATGCTTAATATTTGAAGTCCTCTTTTATAAAGTCTTTTTAGATAATCCTTCCCCTTTTACCAAGCCTACCAAAAGTAAGACAATTTCCTGTGTGTTCCCAGACTGCTTTGAAGCAATTTAAAAAGCCTATCTATCTCCTCCTAGAGACTGTAAGCTAGAAGGGCCTATATATTAGATATTGTATAGCTGGCAAGTACCTGTAGCCTGTGTTAGGGGCTCACAAATGTTGGCTCATTGAATTAAATATGAGTTTCACTTTTTACTTGTTTATTTAGTCATCTTAATATATAGCCCCCAAATTTTCCTTCCTTCTTGGCCAACAAGAAGTCTATTAAAACGATTAGCATTTTGCTGTCTTGCAGGAAAAATGTAAATCAGTTTATACACACACAAATGTGTATACATGTAATTCATACACTCATGTTCTAGGGAATAGTTGAACAAGAAAACTGGATAGATTTTCTACTTTTTAAATGTAGATATGCATAATATATGACTCAGCTGTTGGCTTTAAATCAGTGTTTTACTCTCTACAACTTTAAATATGCCTTCAAAGAATCCTAGAGGGATAGAAATTCTAGATTGGGAAATCTATTTTAAAGTGTTATGAAGTTTTTACGGGTTGAAGATACCACTAACAAAATCTAAGAAACAAAGTGCATTCAAAAATTAATTATATGTAATTTTGGGAAAATAAACATGGAACTTTTTTTTTCCAACCTTTATTTTAAATGCAGGGGATACATGTGCAGGTTTGTTACAAAGGTATATTGTGTGATGCTGATGTTTGAGGTATGGTTGAGCCTGTGATCCAAGTAGTGAACATGGATCTATTTTATTTCACAGTTAATCTATAGTTGACTAAGTAGTTGTACAGATTAGCTGCAATAATGTAGCTGAATTTATTTAAAAATTCTTATATTTTGTATCTTCCCACAGAATTGCCTGTGCAGAGAGATTAATAATTTTTATTTTTTAGAGCTGGAGTTTTGCTCTGTCACCCAGGCAGGCGTATAGTGGCCCTATCATAGCTCACTGCAGCCTTGAACTCCTGGGCTCAAGTGATCCTCCTGCCTCAGCCTCCTGAATAGCAGGGACTACAGCTGTGCACCACCATGCCTGGCTAATTTATTTTATTTTTCCAGAGAGGGGGGGTCTTACTATGTTGTTTAGGCTGTTTTTGAACACTTGGCCTCAAGTGATCCTCCTGCCTCAGCCTCCTGAGTAGTTGGAATTACATGCATGAGCCATCATGCCTGGCCAGATTAATAATTTTGCACCTTTTTAGTAGTTTTTAAAGGCAGTACTTCACATAGCATTTAAGTTTTTAAATTTAGAACTTATTTTTCTTCAAGGTAGTTTTACTTTGCTTTTTTTTTTTCTTAAGAGACATACTCTTGCTTTCTTGCCTAGGCTGGAGTGCAGTGGTGAACTTCTGGGCTCAAATGATCCTTCTGCCTCAGCCTCCTGCGTAGTTAGCACTACAGGAGTGTGCTACCATGCCTGGCTACTTTAAACATTTTTTGTGTTTGTGTAGAAGTGGCGTCTTGCTATTTTGCCTAGGCTGATCTTGAACTCCTGCCCACAAGCAATCCTCTTGCCTTGGCCTCACAAAGTACTGAGTGTATAGGCATGAGCCATCATGCTCTGCCTTTGTTAATTTTTAGTACTTTTAAATATAGTAACAAAGTTACTTGGAGGTATATGTTTAAAAGAATATATTTTAATTGAGTTATATAAGTTTTGAGCGTTTTATTTTCAGTTGATGCTGAGTAATATATGGAAAAAGAAGAAGGAACATTTTTGAAAGTAAAAAATAATTTGTCAAGATTTCCCAGGTTTTATTTCATCTGATTTTTCTTTTTTTCCCCTCCAGGTAACTGTGGAGAATTTTTTAAGGGTATTAACTGGGAGGATCCCACCTAGTACTCCTCGGTCAAAACGTCTTCTTTCTGATGATAGAAGCAATATTCTAATTTATATGACAGGTAATCTCATAATTTAGAGATTTTATATTAGAATATATTAAAACTCTTGGAAAAGAAATCCACATGGAAAGAAATTTAAACACATGAAATGATTTTTGGTTAAAATGGTTTCTCATGTAGTTATATTTTCCATGATTTAGAACTATTTGAAATAATATTTGAAAACAGTATAACATTTTGTGTTGTTCCCTATCTCTGTATTTTTTTGCTATTGACTTGGTAAACTTTAGCACCTTTTGCTTGGTATCCTGCTATATAGCATCCTTCAGTTCTGTTCTCCTGTTAATCATCCTGTGAAAGTGTCTAATAAGAATTGCAAATCTTTCCCTCTTCTGCTTAAAACTTTATAATGGTTTTCCACCTCAAATTTTGCTGTACATAAAGATTACCTGACTATAGATACTTAGGCCTTATTTTAGAATTATTATTCAGTTTTTGTCTGGGCTGGGATTCATGAAATTGCATTGTGGATATACTCAGATATGAGATACAGTAGTCTTTTGATTATACTTTGAGGAATATTAGAGATAATGTGTACCGTGATACAATATACTTATATATATAACACATAATAATATAATGATTTAGCTATATTATTTAATTTCAGTCTTAGTTCTTAATACTTTTCAAAATTCTCTTCCAAGCTTGACTCTTCTGTCCTTCAAACATTTGTTTAGGCTCTTGCATTTGCTTATGACACCTTTTCAATCCACTTTGCCTGCTTGATTATTCCAAATCTTTTTAGTTTTAACTCAGGAGTCACTTCCTTCCATGACGTCCTTCCTAAGTCTAAGATGACTGATGTTTCCAATTACCTGGAACAGTTGTAGTTTACACCTGTTGTCCTGTGTTATTATTAATAGTTTCTGCTTTCTCCTTCAGAATAGGTATGAATAACACAGATTATATTTTTCCTATCCAACGATATTTCTCTTCTCCTTGGCTGGTCTGGACTTTCCTCTGTGCACTCCCGTGTTAATTTTTAGTTTCTTTCATAGCATTTAATTTATTATTACTTTATTGTTTGGGTATCTGTTGCCTTCACTGTATTTTGAATTCCAGGATGTCATTGATTATATATTTCTTGCCTTTTAAAATCACCAGTTGCCTGTCTTATAATAGTATTCAGTAAATATGAATGTTAATCAAAATATCTTCTATTAATTGTTTGGAGGGCATTCCATTCAACTGATGATAAAACAGGTGCAGAATGATTCTTAGGTATCACATGGTAAGATAGTTAATGATGCCTCCTTAGTGGCTTTTCTCTATCATGTTGCATTTATAACTTTCAAGACTCAATTTATAAACTTTATAAATTAACTCAATAGATTTAATGAAGTTAGAAAGAAATTTATTTTACTTTGTCTGAAAATTACAAGGAGTTTTCAAGCTTTTGTGGCAAACAAGGTGAAATGCAATTTTGTAGCTTAGTTTTATTTGATGTACTAAACTAAAGGATTTATTATTATTATTATTATTTTGTTTGCTTCCCGATTCTGTTGGTACTCTTTCAGGATAACTGCAGGCTTGGAACAAATTCCAGTAGTTAAGATAGGATTTGATAAACTATGGCCTGTGAACTGGCTGCCTGTTGTGGAAGTTTTGTTGGAACACAGTTGCATCCATTTGGTTTAGTTTTTATGACTGCTTCCATACTACAACAGCAGAATTCAGTAGTTGTAACAGAAACCATATGGCTCTCAAGCCTAAAATATTTGCTACCTGATTTTTTAGGGAAGAAGGTTGTCAGTGTCTGTAAAAGAATAAAAGCGTTGATAATTATGATTATATGATAATATTTATGGATGCATAGTATACATCAGGACAATATTCTCAATCATTGTGTGTATTAACTCATTTCATTCTCGCATCAGCCCATTGACTTAGGTGCTGATATTCTGGGTTGCCATATGTGGTAGTGTGGGTTGTAGTGCACCCAAGCATCTGGTCAGGAGATTAAGTGGGAACTGAAATCTAGTATGTGCTTACATTTACTAAGCAATCTGCCCTACCACAGGGTTATATTCTAATGGGAGGGAGGAGTACTTTTTTCTTCCACAAAGGCATAGTCAACTAACTACTCGTAAGCTCGCAGGGCTGTATGTATCTTGGGGGAGGCTGGGAGAACTATTTTTTTTTTTTCCCTACTTTCATGCCTAATGGAAGGTACCTTTTAAAAATCTCCGCAAGGGAGCTATATAAGTAAGATAATGATAGTGTTGTGGATACATTTCTCACTTTATGGCTGAAGAAACAGGCCTAGAAAGATTAAATTATTTTCCCAAACTAACATGGCATAGCTACCATTTGAATCCAGACAGCCTGCCTCTAGATTGCATACAAATAGCACAATCTTCTGGTCCACTTTTTGTAGTAAAAATGTCAGTTTTTAGTGAGAACTGCACTTGTTAGTAGTAATATCATTCTAAGTATACATTGTAAATAGTACTAGTATACCATGGGACTAGCTAGTGTCTTCAGCTTCTTTCTCATCAAAACTATTTGCCTGGTATTTGCAACATTTTTATGAATGGAAGTTCATTTCTGATAAAGATGGAGCCAGTGGAAGAGCATAAATATACGTTTCTGGAATTGAATGTTAGAAACACTCTAAAAGATATTATATCTGCTATTTTTTATATAGTCTATCATTCTCTTTTTAATTGGCATAGTAGAAAATTTGTTTTCCTAGTATATATTTTAGAGTATAAAATAACAAGTGATGTTAAAATGTTGCAATGAAGTAAATGTATATATCTAGATGTATGCAGTTTGCATTAAAATATAGATTTATTGATCTTTTTTAACTCTTTATACAAGGACATGGTGGAAATGGTTTCTTAAAATTTCAAGATTCTGAAGAAATTACCAACATAGAACTTGCAGATGCTTTTGAACAAATGTGGCAGAAAAGACGGTAATTAGCAAATGGCTTCTTTTCATAAGCTATATTCATACCTAATTTTCACATGGTTAGTAGGTTTCTAGTTTTTATTTTATAAGATTTACTTATTTTGACGATGTCTTTGACCCTTTTAAATTTACATTTGTTATTTTCACTGAACTGAGTTGTTTTTCAAAGAAAAACTCAGTTATTCTATAACATGAAGTAGTTAACCTTTTAAGATTCCCATCTCTTGAACAAATGTATACCTTTAACTTTTCTAAGGTCAAATTTCTGTTGGGAATTCTGCTGAAAACTTTTAGCTAATGAAGTGACTAAGACATGACTTAAACGTCTTATGAAAGTGTTGTAGAACTTAGTCAGTGTATGATTTACAGCATGATTCTTGTCAAAGATGTTACCACTTTTCTTTCAGCTACAATGAGCTACTGTTTATTATTGATACTTGCCAAGGAGCATCCATGTATGAGCGATTTTATTCTCCTAATATAATGGCTCTAGCTAGTAGCCAAGTGGGAGAAGATTCACTCTCGGTATGTGCATTTTCCCTACTTGTAAACTGTGTCTTTGGAATGTGCAGCTATTTCTGAAACCGATTAAATGCTTTAAATGCTTTATGAATCTATCTGTTCTTTCTTAGACTAACACATTAGAAGGAAATTTTGGTTACATTTAAAACATTTTGTTATAATGATACTGTTAGACAAATACTTTTTTCCCCTTTTCATAGCATCAACCTGATCCTGCAATTGGAGTCCATCTTATGGATAGATACACATTTTATGTCTTGGAATTTTTGGAAGAGATTAACCCAGCTAGCCAAACTAACATGAATGACCTTGTAAGTATTCACTTGATTTGATTATAGCACATAGGTATGCTAACCTTAATGTGAAAAGAAGTGTATTATTCCCTGTACTACTAGAAGGTACTGTTTTATGTGTTGAATTATAGCTTTTTTTTTTTTTTTTTTTTTTTTTTTTAAGATGGGGTTTCACCATGATGGCCAAGCTGGTCTTGAACTCCTGACCTCAGGTGATCCACCCACCTCTGCCTCCCAAAGTGTTAGGATTACAGGTGTGAGCCACTGCGCCCAGCCTGAATTATAGCTTTTAATACTATTTGCTATCTACCTTCTACCTTTATATTAGTCTCTCTCTCTCTCTCTCTCTCTCTCTTTCTCTACAAGAGGCCTGAAGTATGTTACTGTTTTCCTTCATTTACTCATTTTCTTTTCCTTACCAGAAATGTAATTTTTTTAGGTTCACCTTTTGAAATTTTATGTGTTTTTCAGGGACCACCTCAGATTGTATCTCCTTCAGAAAGTCTCCCTGAATTCTTCCATGTGGGAATTTCCTGTTTTTTTTTTTTTGTTTTTTTTTTGTCGGAGCCTCCATAGACCTTTATTCTCATTTGTAACATTTACCACAGTCTGTCTTTTATTTACCTTACTAATTGTAAGTCTTTCTCACTGAATGGGAAACTCCTGGAAAAGAGAGACCTTTTTCTTACATATTTTTGTGGGCCCTACAATTTATAGTAAAGTCTTTTCACGTGACTTGTTGAATTTAGTTTAGATTTTTTCCTGAGTTTTTTTGTGCTGATTCTTTTTAATTAAATGAACTTTGAGGTTGCTGTTGAAAGTAGGCATAACAAAATGCTTGAAACAACAATTCTAGACTGGATAGTTTATTATGTGTCAATGACTTTCATTATTTTCATTAATTTATAGTCTGTTTATTCTTTCACCAACATTTCTTGAGTGTTTGCTAAGTGCCAAGCACTGGCTGTTCGTAATGAAAGAGGCAGATGCCATTCCTGCCTTCATGGGACTTAGAGTGAAGGGGAGACTGAGTAGACAGGGCTCTGCCCTCTAGCACTTCAGTCTAAAGCTTTGTATTGATCTTTTTAAATCATATATAAATATTTTAGGTAAGTTGTCATTTATTAAAGGGGTTTTACTGTAAGATTCTGAAGCCTACTGCTATAGGTTGTGAACTTGGATAAAACTACTCTATTAGTCCGTCTTCATACTGCTGTGAAGAAATACCTGAGACTGGGTGATTTATAAAGAAAAAGGGGGTTAATGGATTCACAGTTCCACATGGCTGGGGAGACCTCACAATCATGGCAGAAGGTGAAGGAGGAGCAAAGGCACATCTTACATGGAGGCAGGCAAGAGAACATATGCAGGGGAACTGACCTTTATAAAACCATCAGATCTTGTGAGAACTCACTCACTATCATGAGAATAGCATGAGGGTAACTACCCCCATGATTAAATTACATCCCACTTGGTCCCTCCCATGACGTGGGAATTACGGGACCTACAATTCAAGATTATACTTGAGTGAGGACACAGCCAAATTATATCATTCTTTCTCTGGCCCCTCCCAAATCTCATATTCTCACATTTCAAAACCAATCATGCCATCCCAACAGTCCCCTAAAGTCTTAACTCATTTCAGCATGAACTCAAAAGTCCACAGTCCAAAGTCTCTTCTGAGACAAGACAAGTCCATTCTGCCTATGAGCTTGCAAAATCAAAAGCAAGTTAATTACTTCCTAGATACAATGGGGGTACAAGCATTGGGTAAATACACCTGTTCCATTTGGGAGAAATTGGCCAAAAGGAAGGTGCTACAGGCCCCATGCAAGTCAGAAATCTAATAGGGCAGTCATTAAACCTTAAAGTTTGAAAATGATCTCCTTTGACTCCATGTCTCATATCTAGGTCACACTGATGCAAGAGGTGTGCCCATGGCCTTGGGCAGCTCTGCCCCGTGTCTTTGCAGGGTACAGCCTGCCTCCTGGCTGCTTTCACGGGCTAGCATGGAGAATGTGTGGCTTTTCCAGGTACACAGTGCAAGCTGTCAGTGGAGCTACCATTCTAGGGCCTGGAGGACAGTGGCCCTGTTCTTATAGCTCCACTAGGCAGTGCCCTAGTGGGGACTCTGTGTGGGGCCTCCAACCCCACATTTTCCTTTTGCATTGCCCTAGCAGAGGCTCTCCATGAGGGCCCTGCCCCTGCAGCAAACATTTGTGTAGACATCGAGGCATTTCCATACATCCTCTGAAAGCTAGGTGGGGGTTCCCAAACCTCAATTCTTGATTTCTGTGTGCCTGCAGGCTTAACACCACATTTAAGCTCCCAAGGCTTGGTTTTGCATCCCCTGAAGCTATGGGCCAAGATGTACCTTGGCCCATTTTAGCCACAGCTGGAGTGGCTGGGACACAGGACACCAAGTCCCTAGACTGCACAGTGCAGGGAGTCCTGGGCCCAGCCCACAAACTCATTTTTTTCTTCTAGGCTTCAGGGCCTATGATGGGAGGGGCTGCTGTAAAGGTCTCTGACATACCCTGAAGACATTTTCCCCATTTTCTTGGTGATTAACGTTTGGCTCCTTGTCTTTGTCTTCTCATTACTTATGCAAATTTTTATAGCAGGCTTGAATTTTTCCTCAGAAAATGGGTTTTCATTTTTTATTGCATTGTCAGGATGCAAATTTTCTGAACTTTAATGCTCTGGTTCCCTTTTAAATATAAGGTCCAATTGCAAACCATATCTTTGTGAATACATAAACTTGAATGCTTTTAACAGCACCCAAGTCTCCTCTTCAATGCTTTGTTGCTCAGAAATTTCTTCCACCAGATATCCTATATTATCTTTCTCAGTTTCAAAGTTCACGGATCTCTAGGGCAGGTGCAAAATCCTGCCAGTCTCTGCTAAAGCGTAGCAAGAATCGCCTTTGCTCCAATTCCCAGTAGTTCCTCATCTCCATCTGAGACCACCTCAGCCTGGACTTTTTGGTTAAAACCATTCAACAAGTCTCTAGGAAGCTCCAAACTTTTTCACATCTTCATCTTTTCTTCAGAGCCCACCATACTGTTCCAGCCTCTGCCTGCTACCCAGTACCAAAGTCAGTACTGCATTTCTAGGTCTCTCTCTCCCTCCCTCCCTCCCTCCCTCTCTCCCTCTCTCTCTCTCTCTCTGTCTCTCTGTCTCTCTCTTTCTCTCTCTCTCTCTCTCTCTCTCTCTCTCTGGCAGAGGTTGCGGTGAGCTGAGATTGCACCACTGCACTCCAGCCTGGGCAATAAAGTGAAACTCTGTCTCAAAAAAAAAAAAACAAAAAAGAGAAACAAAACAACAACAAAAAAGAGGTTTAATGGACTCATAGTTCCACGTGGCTGGGGAGTCCTTACAACCATTGTGGGAGGCATAGGAGGCACTAACTAGGGCACATCTTACATGCCGGCAGGCAAGAGAGCATGTACAGGGGAATTGTTTGTTATACAACCATCAGATCTTGTGAGACTTATTCACTGTCATGAGAACAGCATGGGAAAGATTTACTCCCATGCTTAAGGTACCTCCTACTAAGTCCCTCCCATAACATGTGGGAATTATGGGAGCTGCAATTCAAGATGAGAACTGGGTGGAGACACAGCCAAACCATATCAGCTACTTTCTAACTTCCTTTTGAAGATTATATATTTTAATGCTTATTAAATCTTCATATGAATTTGAATGTTAAAACTTGTGATAATGCAACATTAACTGTAAAAAAAAATTAGTGTCACCTAGTTCCAATTACTTTAATTTAAAAATTTATTGTTATTTTTGGATTATACATTGAATATTTTATGTAAGGCACGATGTGCTGTCTCAAAAGTTTAAATATATGTACCTTGCACACTGAATGTCTAATGGGTATTTAAAGAATACTTCTATTGAAATCATAGAGGAAAGATTGAGGAAACTAATTTTTGTATTGCTCATAACTGCTATTTAGTTTTTAATAAACATTCCTCACTTATCTCATCTTACCCTAACACCTTTATTTTAAAAATTTAATGACGACTATTGTAATCTTAATAGGAATGATTCATTTTTGGCAGTTTTCTAGGGCAGTGACTTAACCTATCTCTAGCTCAATTGTGTAATAATATCTGTTTTCTATTAGAGTATATGTATATAGTAAAATTTGTTGAGTATCAGCTGTATTCACAGTACTGTCTATGTTAATTACTTTAGGAGTAGCAAAATTCAAAGACCTGGTGATTAGCCCCTTAAAAGTTTCTAGTGTCATTGGTAACAATTAAAGAGCATATTTCTAAAGCATTATTTGTTATGTGAAATGTCTGGACCCTCCAGGTAATTTTTTTTCCTATGTGAACATATAACCTATACCTTTATTATACTTTCAGTATTGCACTGTAATTGTTTATGATGTTCCTCCAGGCTTTGAGTTTCTTGAATAAGAGCTGTAGGGACCTTATTCTTTAGTAGGAGGTGTAGGACTATATTCATCTTACACTCCACAGAGCTTAATTATAGTACCTGGTTTATTTGTAGATGTTCATTGAATATCTGCTAAATGAGTGAAAGGACATGACAACAAATGCATATTTGTATGGCTCCTTTAAATATAGTGAGATTAGTGATAATTTTTTCTTGGAGAAGGTAAGTACAGGTTTTAAGGAAGAGAAGATGTATAGCATACTCTGTGGAAATAGAATACCCACAGACACGCAGAAGAAGTTGGAATAATAGATGATCGTTATCTTTGATAATAGCTTGAAGGAAGGATGGTTTGAAGGAAGAGAAGTATAGCAAACTCTAGGGAAGTATAACAGTGCGGAACATACAGAAGTTGGAATAATGGATGATTCTTATCTTGATAATGGCCTGGCTAGAGTGTGGACATTCTGTAATTGAAGATTATTGAAAATGTAAACTGAGTACTATGAGACCTGTGGGTCATTGTGTTACTTGAGCTAAGGAAATCAGACTGATATGATAAAAGTTCTTAAAGGAGTGACTTCATAATTAGGGGAAGTATGTTTATTTTGGCAGCAAAGAATAAGATAATTTTATTCAGTGTTTCCCAGGCCCATTTGACTATACTATATGTTTTCTTCTGCTGGTACCTAAGAAAGCCTATCAAGTTGCTCATGCAGGAATACCCAAGAAGTCTTCAATATTCTTGGGACTTCAATATCAACTCTGCTTATTTTATTTTATCTGTCATTTTTTTTCTCCAATCTTCTATCTGTTATTCCTGTTTGGCATTTTATTTTTTTTTCCATTTAATTTATATCCTGAGTTCTTCTTTGTGTTTTCTTGTACTGCTTTCCTGAATAGGGATGACAAGGATTGCTGGCAGTGTGGTATTAGGTAAATTACTTAATCTCTTTGAACTTTAGTCTGAAGTGGAGATACAACTTTTGTATACCTCAGCGTTATTGGTAGGCTTAAATGAGAATATCTACAAATTGCTTAGCACAGTTATTGGAACACTGTGCTTTACAAGTTGTATCTGCTCTACTCTTCTCCACCTTTCTGCCTTCACATTGATGATTGCCAGTGCAGACAGTCTTATCTCCACAGGTGGGTAGGTGCTGTATGCCTGGACCCTTCCTGGAAGGCCTGTATTATTTTTCTTCATATTTCTTGAGCTTCAGCCAAACTGAATCATTTGCTTTACACATCTCTGCAACTGCTCTTTTATTAGGAATGCTCTTATTTCCCACCAGTAAGTTCTCATTTTCCTTCAAAAAATAGCTTTAATTTCACTCTTTTTTTTTTTTTTCCATCCTCAAACTGTAAGAAGTTTATCCTTTTCTGAAGTGGGACTTAGATATCATTTTTTTCTACCTTGTTATGTTTATTCATCTCTAACTAGACTTAAATCCTTGAGGACAGGATCATGTCTTATCAGTCTTTGCATCCTCTATGGAAAGTAACAGTCTGAATTCTATGTAATAAACACTTTTCATGTTTTGCTGAGTGAATGAATGTATGTTTGTCCTTGGTAATTCACTGACCTGGAATATCAGTGATAAGATTAACACAAAAATTATGGTGATGTCTGTTTTATAGTGAAGTTTTCGTTTTTCAGATTGTTTTCTTTGGAGCACGGGAGTATTTGTAGAGGTGGGTTGGGTTTATTTTCATCGAATATACACTAAGAAAGTGCTTCGATATATAAAATGCTACATAGGAGTACAACAGAGAGCAAGAGGATGTGCAGCAGAGAGGCTGTGCTTCAGCTTCCTGAAATCCAGAGCAACTCCACTTAAATGTTTTCTTCATTTAAAAAACATTTACAGTTTGTGTAGTTTTTTTTTTACATGCATTTTTAAAGGTAAACTACTTTATTAGAAATAAGTAATGGTCAGTTAATAGCTACTTTCTTGAAATATATAATAGCATATGTTGTTAGCCATGAAACTTTGTTATTTGTGATTGTCTGTTGCTATCTAATAAAAAAAATCCTAATGCCTGTATAGTTTTTTTTTTTTTTAATGCCAAGCATTATGATAGGAATGAAACTTTAAGCTCTTTGGAATGCATGGCTTCTTTAGGTTGGGAGAGTTTTAAAAATACACTGTAGTTTACTGTATTATGTCATTGGATTTAATAAATGTTACATGTCTGTGGATGCATGCATTTATCATTATATATTTTTTCAGTTTCAGGTGTGTCCCAAAAGTCTGTGTGTGTCTACTCCTGGACATCGGACTGATCTTTTTCAGAGGGATCCTAAAAATGTACTGATAACTGATTTCTTTGGAAGTGTACGGAAAGTGGAAATTACAACAGAGACTATTAATTTGCAACAGGATTCAGAAATCATGGAAAGCAGGTATGCATCTTAAACAATTATTTGAATAGACTACTAGTCTCACAATTTGTTCATTTTGTGTAACTATATTAAGAGGCAAAAGTTGGTGTTTATAGGTAAAATTGCATATTTATATCCAGTCTTCACTATATGCTTTTCAGATTTATAGGCAAAAACTACAAATATTCATGGAAACTAAGATCATCGTTAGGATTATGTTGGAGCTCCAAAATACAATCTTGGTAGTAGTTCAATTTGAGACTTGCCTAAAAGCCCTAAAACTTTCCCCATAACTGGTTATCCCAGAGCCATCATTTTCTGTTAGGCCTCCTGGTAATTCATCAGGGAAAGGAACGAGAAGTGTAAGCCAGGTACCGCCTTGGAGAGTGAATTGTGTGTGAGTGAGTGCAGACATTTGTAAGAGAGAGGAAGTTGAGAGACAATAGTTCACTTTGGGTAAGTGGATTTTAGAAATACTTATAATCTGTTTTATTTTCTCTGTAATCATTTTTAAAGGTAAACTACTTTATTAGAAATAAATAATGGGTCAATTAATAGCTACTTTCTTGAAATATATAATAGCATATGTTGTTAGCCATGAAGCTCTGTTATTTGTGATTGTCTGTGGCTATTAGAAACTCACACTACAGGGAACTTTTTGGGATTACAAAATGGCACTGTATACAATTTTTGTTTTTTGAGACAGAGTCTTACTCTTTCGCCCAGACTGGAGTGCGGTGGCACAATCTCTGCTCACTGCAACCTCCGCCTCCCAGATTCAAAGGATTCTCCTGCCTCAGCCTCCCGAGTAGCTGAGACTACAGGTGCATGCATCATGCATGGCTAATTCTTTGTAATTTTAGTAGAGACAGGGTTTCACCATGTTAGTCAGTTTTGAAAATTTCAAAGACTTGTAATTGAGCTTGTGAATTGTTGTAGGAATAAATTCAAACACTGGCACAAGATGCCTCTCTTTCATTCTAGTTATAACAGTTTCTTATTTTTTATTGATGTATAATATTTGTACATATTTTGGGGTACATGTGATATTTTGATACCTGTGTACAATGTTTAATGATCAAATCAGGGTAACTGGGATATCCATCATCTCAAACATTTGTCTTTTCTTTGTGTTGGGTTCCTTACTATCATTTTCTAGATATTTAGAAATACACTCTAAATTGTTAACAATGATTTCCCTACTGTACTATCAAATACTAGAACTTATGTCTTTCATCTAACTGTATTTTTATATTCCTTAACCAACTTCTCTTCATTCTCCTCCCAAACATTTTTCCTACCCAGCATCTGGTGATCACCATTCTACTTTCTACCTCGTTGACATCTACTCATTTTGCTCTCACATATGAATGAGAACATGTGATGTTTGTCTCTCTATGCCTTGCATATTTCACTTAACAATAACTTCCAGTTCCATCCATGTTGTTGCAAATAACAAGATTTTATTTTTTTATAGCTGAATAACATTTTATTGTGTATATAAATAATTTTCATTATCCATTCATTTGTTGATGGACACATCTTGATTCCATATCTTGGCTATTGTGAATACTGCTGCAATAAACATGGGAGTACAGAGAATGCTTCAGTAATACTGATTTCCTTTCTTCTGGATATGTTGCTGGATGTGGGATTGCTGGATCATATGGTAGTTTTATTTTTAATTTTTTGAGCAACCTCCATACAGTTTTCTGTAATGACTGTACTATTTTGCATTTCCACCAACAGTGTATGAGTGTTCCCTTTCTCCATATTCTTGCCAGCTTTGTTATTTTATGGCCTTTTAAATAAGCTAACTGAGGTGAGATGATACTTTGCAGTTTGGATTTGCATTTCCTCGATGATTAGTGATTTTGAGCATTTTTTCATATATCTGTTTTCTTTTGTGCAATGTCTATTCACATCATTTGCCCATTTTATAATTAGACTATTTGTTTTTTTTTTTCTTTTTGCTATTGTTTCAGATTCCTTATATATTCTGGTTATTAATTGCTTATCAGATGGATAAATTGCAAATATTTTCTCTCATTCTGTACGTTGTCTCTTTGTTTTGAAGATTGTTTCCTTTGGTATGCAGTGCTGTGCAGAAGCTTTTTAGCTTGATGTAATTTCATTTATCTATTTTTGCTTTTGTTGCCTATGACTTTAAGGTTTTACCTAAAAAATTTCTGCCCAGAATAGTGTCCTGGAATGTTTCCTCAGTGTTTTCATTTTAGTAGTGCTTATTTGGGTAGTATGGACATTTTAACAATATTATTTCTTGCAATCCATGAGCATGGGATATCTTTCCACTTTTTGTGTCTTCTTCAATTTATTTCATCAGCTTTGTATACTTTTTCCTGTAGAGATCTTTCACTTTGGTAAAATTTATTCCTAGGTATTTTTTTCTTTGGTGGGTATTGTAAGTGATTGCTTTCTTGATGCCTTTTTCAGATTGATCACTGTTGGATAAAAATGCTACTGATTTCCATATGTTGATTTTGTATCCTAAAACTTTCCTGAATTTATCAGTTCTAAGAATTTTTTGTTGGACTTTAGGTTTTTTTAAACATAAGATCATTTCTGCATGCAAAGATAATTTGATTTCTTTCTTTCCAATTTGGACACCCTTTATTCTTTCTCTTGCCTAATAACTCTGGCTCAGACTTCCAGTACTATGTTGGCTAGAAGTGATGAGAGTGAACATTTTTATCTTGTTCCAGGTCTTAGTGGAAAGTCTTTTATTTGTTCCCCATTAAGTCTGATATTAGCCATGGGTCTTTATCATGTTAAGATATGTTCTTTCTAATCTAGTTTGTTGAGAGTTTTTATCATGAAGGGATGCTGAATTCTACTGAATGCTTTTTCAGCATCTATTGAAATGATCATATGGATTTTGTCCTTGATTCTGTTGATCATGCATCATATTTATTGATTTGCATATTGAACCATTATTGTATATCTGGATAAATCCCACTTGATCATGATGAAATAGTCTTTTTTTAGTATGCTCTGGAATTCACTTTGTTAGTATTTTGTGGAGGATTTCATCAGAGATACTGGCCTCTAGTTTTTTTTTTTATGTGTGTGTGTGGTGTCTTTGTCTACTTGGTATTAGTTTTTTAAATGTTTGGCAGAATTCAGTAATTAATCCATCAGGTCCTGAGCTTCTCTTTGATGGGAGATTTTTTACTTTTTTAAATACGTTAAATCCTGTGGTACATGTGCAGATCTTGCAGGATTGTTAGATAGGTATACACATGCCATGGTGGTTTGCTGCCTGCATCCCCTGCCCACCCTGTCACCTACCTACATTAGGTATTTCTCCTAATGTTACCTCTCCTCAACCTCCCCATCCCCTGCTGTTTTGATCTTATTACTCATTATTGGTCTGTTTAGATTTTCTATTTTTTTCTGGTTCAATGTTGGTAGGTTGTATGTGTCCAGGATCTTATCTGTTTCTTCTAGTTTTTCCAGTTTTTTGGGAGGCATGTTCTTATTCACCATATTGTCTAATGACCTTTTGTATTTCTGTGGTATCAACTGAAATGTTTTCTATTTTTTTTTTTAGTCTCTGATTTTATTTATTTAGGCTCTTAATCTTTTTCTTAGTCTAACCACGGGTTTGTCAATTTTATATTTTCAAAAAACCAACAGTTTGCTTTGTTGATTTTTTTGTATATTTTTTTTAGTCTCAATTTAATTCCCCCCGCCTTTTCTTTTTTTTTGAGATGGGGTCTTGCTCTGTTGCTCAGGCTAGTCTGAAACTCCTGGGCTCAGGTGATCCTTTTGTCTCAGCCTTCCACATAACTGGAACCTACAGACATGTACCTCCACACCTGGCTAATTTGTTTTTATTTTTGTAGAGATGGGCTGTCCATATGTTGCCTAGGCTGGTCTCCTGGGCTCAAATGATTCTCCCACCTTGACCTCCCAAAGTTGCTGGGATTACAGGTGTAAGCCACTGCACCCAGTCTGATCCTTATTATTTATTTTCTTCTACTAATTTTGGGTTTGATTTGCTCTTGGTTTTTGAGTTCTTTAAGAGACATAGGTTGTTTATTTGAAATAGTTCTCTTTTTGATGTAGGCATTTATTGCTATAAACTTCCCTTTTAATGCTACTTTTGCTGTATCCCATATTCTGATACGTTGTGTTTGTATTTCATTTGTTTCAAAAAATTTTTAAATTTTCTTCTTAATTTCTCTGTTGACCCATTTGTTATTCAGGAGCATGTTATTTAATTTCTATGTATTTGTACAGTTTTCCAAAGGTCCTGTTATTGATTTTTAGGTTTTTTTTTAATAGTTAGAAAAGATACTTGAAATGATTTCAGCTTTTTTGAATTTGTTGAGACTTATTTTGGGACCTAACATTTGGTCTATCCTGATCATGTTTAATGTGCTGATGAGGAAAATGTATAATCTGCAGCAGTTGACTGAAATGTTCTGTCAATGTCTATTAGGTCCATTTGGTCTAGAGTATAGTTTAACTCCAATACCTCTTGGTAGATTTTCTGCTTGGATGATCTGTCTGTTGTTGAAAGTGGGGTGTTGAAGTCCTCTACTATTCTTGTAATTATAATTTACCTCTTCATTTAGATCTAATCATATTTATTTTATGTTTGGGTAACACCATAATCGGTACATACATTTTTACTATTATTATACTCTCTTGCTAAATTGACTCTTTTATCATTATATAATGATCTTCTTTGCCTCTTTTTATAGTTTTTGACTTCAAGTCTGTTTTATCTGATATATGCATTGCTACTCATGCTCTTTTTGGTTTTGATTCACATAAAATATCATTTTCGATGTCCTCATTTTTTTTGTCTGTATCTTTTGTAGGCGAAGTGAGTTTTTTGTAGGTAGCATATAGGTGGGTCTTGTTTTCTAATCCTGTTAGTCATGTCTTTTCATTATGATGTCTTTAAATCATAATGAAAAGACATGACTAACTGGGGAATTTAGTCAATTTACATTCAGTATTATTATTGATAGGTAAGGGCTTACTGTGGC